TATCACCATTTAAGGAAAACAAACACAACTCAAGCGGTGGTCAATAAAGTAAAAAGTAAGTCAAAAAGAGAGCAGCTCACTAGCTGCAACCACACTAATGGCACTCTGGCCCAGAGCTCACCTTTCCCTGGGCTTAAATATTTTTAATTACCAACGAGAGTCAGCTGCACAAAAGAAAGGTGGCAGCTAAGGCAGGAGAGATGGTCGGACACGCCCACACAGACAACTTCAGGAGGCCGCTCTGCCAGGGCCGTAACAATGTTCACATCAGTTTGAATTTCGAGCACAGATGGTGTCTAAACGTCTAGCTTTGTGGGTATAAAACACAGATAAAGTACTGACACTGTAAACTCAGCAGCTTTGACATCCCCACCCCCTATTTTTTTGTGTGTGTGTGTGTTTGTCAAACTTAATAATATTTAATAAATATTTCAGATCATCAAAGAAATTTAAATATTAACAAAGAAAACAGAAAATGCAGTTTATAAAAGAGGCAGTTTATTATTCAGGGGGAAAAAAATAATCAAAATCCAAACAGTCAATCTTCCCAAAAAAGAGTACTTCGAACTGAGGGGATTGCACTGCCAGAAGGAAACATTGCAGACACTGAGGACGCCTACGAGTACCTGGGAATCCCACAGGAAAATAGGAACCGTGAACAGGCTGCTGGGAAAGCTGCAACCACCAAGTACCTGCAGAGGGTCAGGCAAGTCCTGAGGAGTCAGCTGAACAGTAAGAACAAGATCTATCAACACTTATGACCTGCCAGTCATCAGATACAGTCACAGAGTACTAGATTTATCAGAAACCTCACTGGAGTATCCCAGCAGAACTAGGCTCAGGGAGGGGAACTAGTTTTTCAGCGTCACTCTGAGACAGGATATTTCTAACTTTAGAGATGTTGCACAAATGGAAGAACGCAGTCTTACATATTTGTTTAATATGTGCGTTGAAGGACATGTCCTGGTCAAAAATGACTCCAAGGTTCCTCACAGTGTTACTGGAGGCCAAGGTAATGCCATCCAGAGTAAGAATCTGCTTAGATACCATATTTCTAAGATTTTCAGGGCCGAGTACAATAACCTCAGTTTGATCTGAATTAAGAAGCAGAAAGTTAGCGGCCATCCAGGTCTTTATGTCTTTAAGACATTCCTGCAGTTTAACTCATTGGTGTGTGTTATCTGGCTTCATGGACAGATAGAGCTGGGTGTCATCTGCATAGCAGTGTAAATGTATGCTATGTCTTCTAATGATGCTGCCTAAGGGAAGCATGTATAATGTAAACAGAATTGGTCCTAGCACTGAACCCTGTGGAACTCCATAATTAACCTCAGTGTGTGAAGAGGACTCTCCATTTACATGCACAAACTGGAGTCTATTAGATAGATATGATACAAACCACTGCAGCGCAGTACCTGTAATACCTACAGCATGTTCTAATCGCTCTAATAGGATATTATGGTCAACAGTATCGAACGCTGCACTAAGGTCTAGCAGGACAAGCACAGAGATGAGTCCACTGTCAGAGGCCATAAGAAGATCATTTGTAACCTTCACTAAAGCTGTTTCTGTGCTGAGCTCTGAAACCTGACTGAAACTCTTCAAATAAACCTCTGCAGATGATCTGTTAGCTGTTTGACAACTACTCTTTCAAGGATGTTTGATATAAAGGAAGGTTGGAGATTGGCCTATAATTGACCATAAGGAACAAGTAGAAGTCAGCTCTACTATGTTTTAGTACAGTGTGTTCTTCAGGCATTAGACTCATCAGCAAAATGAAAGTGGGATTTCAAAGCCACAGCAAGACTTTTACCATCTTGAGGCTTTTAAGCGGGCGACTTTCATTTTCCTGCAGACACAACGAAAGCAGAAGTGAAAGTTGTCAAATTTGCAACAGTTTTTGGTGGTTTTATTTTATTGGCTTGTTTTTTGAGCATAATTGTCTATTTTGTCTTCACATAACTGCGTAATGACTTTAGAGGCTGCATAAATGGCTATAAGCTGAATATGGACTTTTATTTCTTCTTTTTTCAGTAAAAACCTGAAGCTGGAAATCAGCCAAAAAGGTCAAATTTATTACAAGGAAATCAAACCATATCAAATCCCACTGTATGAGTCTGTATAGTACACCAGAGTCTTGATGCATCTCAATCATCCAGGTAAGTAAATCTCCAAAAGTTGATTCTGTTCATCTGGACGCAGCGTTTTGTGGGAGAAACGTTTCGTCATCATCAGGTGACGTCTTCAGTCTCAGCTGACTGCAGGTTTCCAACTTATAAACAGGACATTTACATAATGACTGAAACCAGCCCAGTGAAGGAACAATAGGCTGGGAGGTCAGTTCCTTAATCTTATATGCAAAAGCTGACGTGTACCGTAAACCTACATACGGATCAGTATTTAAGGTTTGACTCTCATCATCCACTGGAGCATAAACTGGGTGTCATCAGGACGCTACAACACAGAGCGAACACCATCCCCACAGACACAGCGGCCAGGGAGGCAGAAGAACATCAAGAAGGCCCTGAGTAAATGTGGTTATCCCAGCTGGACTTTTGTCAAAGTGGGAAGGCTCCTAAAGAAAGCTCCAGCTGATCCAGGAGAGAAGGACACCGCTGCCCAAGCGAAAACCTGTAGTGATCCCATATGTGTCAGGAGTATCGGAGCAGTTGAGACGCATTTTTTCTAAACACCGGGTCTCTGTGGCTTTTAAACCCCAAAACACGCTGCACCAAAAATTGGTCCACCCCAAGGATCGGGTCCCCCGACACAAACAGAGTAACATAGTGTACGCTGTTAAGTGCCAGGAGGATTGCCAGGATTTATACATCGGGGAAACCAAACAACCTCTGGCCACAACACAGAAGAGCTACCTCGTCAGGCCAGGACTCTGCAGTCTATTTACACCTACAGGCCAGTGGACACTCTTTCAATGATGAGGATGTACACATCCTGGACAGGGAGGAACGCTGGTTTGAGCGCGGAGTCAAGGAGGCCATTTACGTGAAAAGGGAAAGACCATCTCTGAATCGAGGAGGGGGCCTAAGGGTACATCTGTCACCATCTTACAATGCTGTGATTGCAGCCATTCCCCAACTCTGTGAATGGTACTCATGGCCATTGATCAGTGGGTTTTGATCAATGGTCATGAGAATTTGCATAATTAAGATTAAGGAACTGACCTCCCAGCCCATTGTTCCTTCAGTGGGCTGGTTTCAGTCATTATGCAAATAGAATAGAATAGAATTCAACTTTATTGTTATTGCACATGTCACAATTACAAGGCAACGAAATGCAGTTTGCATTCATCCAGAAAGGGCTTTAGCAATAAAATAGATATACCATATTTTCCGCACTATAAGGCGCACCGTTGAAGACTGGGTCTGTTTTCATACATAAGGTGTACCGTATTATAAGGTGCATTAAGACAAACAAAACAGTCAGATAACTTGACCTTTAGTAAGCTCATTCACATTAACTCTTAACACTGTTAAGCTGTAACACATTCAATATTGAAAAATACATTTACTTTTGCCAGTATATTCAACTTCCACAATTCCATCAAATTCTTAACCTTCCGTGTCTGAGTTACGGTAAACAGCTGTGCAATTTCGGTATCAACGATGCCCGAATCCCTCTCACGCTGGATTAAAGGGCGTTTAAAGTGCATTCAGCAAAATAAAACATGGGCAATTTCGGCATCAAGCATGCCCGGATCCCTCTCATCATTATCCGAATCAGTCTCGTTGCTGTTACTTAGCTGTTCAGTGATTATTCCAGCCTTCGTGAAAGCTCGGACGACACTTGAGACTGATACCTTAGCCCAAGCAGCCACGATCCATTGGCAGATAGTGGCGTAACTCGCTCGGCGTTGCCTCCCTGTCTTGGTGAATGTGTGTTCGCCTTCTGTCATCCAATGCTCCCACGCAGCTCGTAATTTAACTTTGAACGACCTGTTGATACCAATATCTAGTGGTTGGAGTTCTTTGGTTAATCCACCCGGAATGACGGCAAGCTCCGAATTAGTTTGCTTCACTTGGGTTTTGACAGCCTCGGTGAGATGGGCGCGCATGGAGTCGTAGATCAAAAGAGACGGAGATTTGTGGAAAAAGCCATCCGGTCTCTTGACATAAACTTCCCTCAGCCACTCGCTCATTTTCTCTTCGTCCATCCAGCCCTTTGAGTTAGCCTTGACGATGACGCCGGCCGGAAACTTTTCTTTTGGCAAAGTCTTCCTCTTGAAAATGACCATGGGTGGTAGTTTCTGGCCATTAGCTTGGCAGCCCAGAACTACAGTGAAGGATGACTTCTCGTTCCCTGTGGTGCGTATAGATACCGTACTGGTCCCTGTTTTCTCGACAGTACGGTTCACGGGGATGTCAAAGTTGAGGGGGACCTCGTCCATGTTAGTGATGCGTTCTAGCTGGATCTTTTTTTCAGTGATCTTATTCTGGCAGTGCGTGCAGAAAATGGCCAACTTTTCTTGTAATCGTTTGGCAGTTGCTGTGAGACAGTAGTTCTTGTGCGGATTGAGAGATTATGCCTTTTCATAAAACGGAAGCACCAAGAAGGTCCCCCTCGAAAGTCGTTGATCTGCATGTCACGTGCTGCCGCTGTTGCCTTGAGTCGAACAGAGACTGTAGAGACACTTCTGCCTGCTGTTCTCTGTTCAATAACCCACTGTTCAATTTTGTCCTCTAACTGCGGCCATCGCACCTTGTTCCCTCGGAAACTCCTTTTGGTCGTCTTTACTTGTTTTAGGTCATCTTCTTGCTTCCTCCACTTGCGCACCATCGACTCATTAATGCCGAATTGTCTCGCAGCTGCTCTATTTCCATTTTCTGCTGCATAACTGATTGCTCGGAGTTTAAAATCCGCTTCGTAAGCGTGTCTCTTCGCGGGTGCCATTTTTATACACACACAACACGGTAATGTTTTGTTGAAGCACAGTACGTATTACTCCGCGAGGCTCATTGCAACAGTAACCGTAATGCTCCGAAAAGTGGCACTAAAATTTTTTTTGAAAGATTTTTGAGCATCGTGTAGCACATAACATCAGTTCGAGGTCAGTAAGCACAAACCAAAATTCATACATAAGGCGCACTGTCGATTTTTGTGAAGATTTAAGGATTTTATGTGCACCTTATAGTGCGGTAAATACGATATTACAGAAATGGGTCTGTTATAGGTATGAGGGTACAAAATATGGGTCTATTATGGGTATGTTAAAATGTACACGGTATGAAGGTATGTTATGAATATGCAATAATTATAAGTATGTACAGGCTGTAGTGGGTGTACAAGCTATGAAGAGAATATAAATATGAAAACTATACAGAAATATGAAATTAAAAAAAAAGCTATACAGAAATATATTTACATAAATATAGAAAAAGTACTGTTTATAAGGTTGGGGAAACCTGTAGTCAGCAGAGTCACCTGGATGAGTGACGAAACGTTTCTCCCACTGAAAATGTCCAGATGAACAGAACCCACTTTTGGAGATTACACCGGAGTATTATTGCTACATTAAGAAAATAAAAAATATTTTCGATCGTTTTGAGAATAAAATTGAAATTTTACAATTAAAGTTGAAACGTAACATGTTTGCTGTAATCTCTATGAAATGCCTTGTTAGGATGGGTCAGTGAAACAAATGTTTAACTGTATTATGATATACCACGTCCTCTTTTTTTTTCTTTGTGTGCATCTCCTCTTCTGAATTTGTGTTTTTCTGTCTTTTTCTTTTCAGCGTCCTTATACTCATCAACACACTGTGTTTATCAGCTAAAAGAAACCATTTCACTCACTCAGAGGGTATAGAAGGGTCTTGAAACAACAACTGAAATCTTGAAATTTTGCCTTTATTCTCGAAATGATTAATAATATGTTTCCCTAATACTCCTTGGAAGTATATTCAGTCTGTCTGCATGTAAAAAGCAGACCGACTGAGCTGATGAGGAAGTGAAAAAGTGCTGAAAATAAACCTTTGTCATCTTGTTGAAGTCGTGAAGCTCTCTCAGTGAGTTTGTGTCTGTCGTTCAGGATGAATGCCTTGCTGTCCATCTGTCTCTGGCTGTCTCTGATGATGTTAGTCTGCTGTAGTGAGTGAACTGGAACCAGAACATCCTTTAATCCTAATCTGCTGCAGGTTTAAGCTGTTTTACATGAAAGATGTGATGCTGATTGAGAGAATGATCACGCCTGTTCTTTTTTTGGCAGTCAGGATGTTTTCTGCATTATTTCTTATAAACGGCTGCAGCTGCTTTGAAACTTTAAATATTAAAATTGCAAATCATTTTGCTAACTGATGGATTCACGTCAACAATCCTAAAAAAGCAAACTTGCTCCACAGAGGTCGACCAGCTGATTGATCCATCGTGACTTTACTGGACGTCAGAAGATGTTTGTTGCATTACTGCAGTTACAGTTTCATAAGTTTTTAAAAAGATTGTTTAAAAAGAAATTTAGAGATCTGTTAAGAATTTGCTGGAGTAATTGTCCTGGAGACACTTGCTCTGTCAAACTACTTCATACCACTACATTAATGTTTGGTGCATGAAACCATGAACATCAAAAACTAAAAACTAAAATGCCAGGCTTGTAGAGCAGTTTGTAGTTTGTTTTTAGCTCACCTTCCATCAGGTCACATGAATTTATTGTTTCTGCTTAATTTTCATCACCAGGAATCATTGAAAAGGAAAACTTGCACCATGAAGACATGTATGAATTCTCAGCGAATAACGACACTTCTTATTATAACTTATCTTCTTATTATGACTACTATTACTATGGTAACTCCAGAGCACCTGCACAGCACAGACACCTTATCTAGTAACGCAACTGTTGCTGAGCTGTACTCACAGCAGCTTCTGTGCTTTCTTGTCTTTCTAGAATTTGTCCCCATGAACAAGGTAAGCCATCTTTTTTCAGATGTACTGGTAAAGGACAGAATTACAACTTAAAACTGGAAAAGATTTATTTAGTTATTTTGCTTTTCCTTATTTTTGTCACATACTGTCATGTAATAACTGTGGACGATCACATTAAACACAGCTGAACTGCAAAAACACAATGAAACACCTCCAGAAATCCTGATTACACATGTCACAAAATGAGTGTTTAACATCAGAAAATCCAAAGATTTTTTTTGTGTTTGAGCTTAAATTTGTACTTTTTTAAAACTTTAAACATTAATATTGGAAATAATTAGAAAAAAATCCGACTTTATATTCAGGAGGTTTTCTGACAGATGCCCGCTGGATTCACTTCAACAATCCTAAAACTAAATGGTAAATGGTAAATGGCCTGCATTTGTAAAGCGCTTTTCTAGTCCATAGGACCCCAAAGCGCTTTACACTACATTCAGTCATTCACACACATCCACACACTGGTGATGGCAGCTACATTGTAGCCACAGCCACCCTGGGGCGCACTGACAGAGGCGAGGCTGCCGGACACTGGCGCCACCGGGCCCTCTGACCACCACCAGAGGGCCCGGGCTAAGCACAGCTAAGCAGAGATCAGCCATCAGTGTTTAGCTGACTTTGATTTTTCCGACGTTACTTCAAAACTACAAGTAAAGCTGGCGTGTAAGCCCATCACTTACTTGTGGCTTTTTAGTTGGTCTAACTTTCCTGCAGACGCTTGATAAACAGAAATGAAAGTTGTTGAGTTTCTTCCCGTCTGTATGTTTGTGGTTTTGTGTCACGTACTGTACTCGTGACACTGCTGAAAATGATGCGCACACTCATCTCCTGTGCAACATATTTATTTTTCACAGAAACTGTAGAAAAATAGAAAAACGACAGGTTAACCAGTTCTTTCTTTCAGTTCGTACGCTGCCTCTTCGTTACTGACTAACACTTCTTCTAGTGACAATGACTTTACTTTCTCTAAACTTTACACTTTCATAGTCACACGCACCACTTTTATGTACTGCACAATCACAAAAGTACATTTTACTGTATGCACGAATACCAGAGTGAACTCTCATTACAGTTTTATCTTGTTTTCATCTATTCATCAACCTGAACTGCATTTATCAACCTGCATCCTTTTCAACTAAACGTTGTTCTTGACTTGAAATGAACATTCAGTCACTTTCTCTTATTGTGCAAAACATATATTGTGGCTTTGACCCAAAAAATACCTGTATGGAAATCAAAGACTCTCGGCACAGTCTAACAACTGGATCAACTTGGGAATTAAATCTCCAGCCTAACATTGTCACACTACAAGACCTTCATCATCAGCCGCCACTGCGGTCTGTCACTTTTATAACATCCCACCCAGCTTACCTGTAGAAAAACAGTCAATCAGTTCTTTCTGCGCGGGCCGTACGCTGCATCTTCACTACTGACTAACACTCGTGAAGCGCCAGCTACCGATGCGTTCGAGACTGAGTGCCCCCTGCTGGCGAACAGTACAATCGACATTAACAGTGGCCTTACCAAAAGAAAGTGCCTTTGAGCATAAAATACGATTTTCATGTCTTTATCTTTATCATAGCGCCACATATGTGAGGACGCATGCATCCATGTGTGTAACACGTGTCTCCATAATTTGGGCGTGCATGGCTGCCAGTGGCCAGTTTAAGTTTACTCAGTATGAAAACAATAAAGTTTATGGCGTGAAATTTGAACCTTTCTGCCTGTGTGTTTGTGTGTGACCTCTCTCAGGCCTCAGGGATTGGTCAGCTGAAACTGATGCTCCTGCTGGGATTGGTTGTCCATCAAATCTGGAACTGATTGTGGGTGGAGCCAAAGACAGAAGCTTTATCTGCAATGAAAGTTGTAATAAAAAAGACAAAATAAAAGACTTTATTTTTGAAACTATTCGAGTGATTGTTTGTTTATTTTGAACAGCTCTGACCTGCCTTATATTTTATTATCAGGGCTTACATCTTTCTTTAAGTTCAGTGGCCTCATCTTAAAAAGCCTGTTGGGTCCGACTCACAAAGCTGAGGCTCGTTAAAAGCTGTAAGTTTTCTCTTGTTTGGAGAGTTTCTATTTGAACACTCCCCGCTCTCTCTCTCTGTCTGTCTCAGTCAGTTTGTGTCTCTCGTCCAGGATGAATGTGTTGCTCTCCGTCTCTCTCTGGCTTGCTCTGATCATGTCGTCCTGTTGTGGTGAGTGACCTATGACCTTTCACATATCTGTTTTATAAAAGGAAGGTTGGAGATTGGCCTATAATTGACCATAAGGAACAAGTAGAAGTCAGCTCTACTATGTTTTAGTACAGTGTGTTCTTCAGGCATTAGACTCATCAGCAAAATGAAAGTGGGATTTCAAAGCCACAGCAAGACTTTTACCATCTTGAGGCTTTTAAGCGGGCGACTTTCATTTTCCTGCAGACACAACGAAAGCAGAAGTGAAAGTTGTCAAATTTGCAACAGTTTTTGGTGGTTTTATTTTATTGGCTTGTTTTTTGAGCATAATTGTCTATTTTGTCTTCACATAACTGCGTGATGACTTTAGAGGCTGCATAAATGGCTATAAGCTGAATATGGACTTTTATTTCTTCTTTTTTCAGTAAAAACCTGAAGCTGGAAATCAGCCAAAAAGGTCAAATTTATTACAAGGAAATCAAACCATATCAAATCCCACTGTATGAGTCTGTATAGTACACCAGAGTCTTGATGCATCTCAATCATCCAGGTAAGTAAATCTCCAAAAGTTGATTCTGTTCATCTGGACGTAGCGTTTTGTGGGAGAAACGTTTCGTCATCATCAGGTGACGTCTTCAGTCTCAGCTGACTGCAGGTTTCCAACTTATAAACAGGACATTTACATAATGACTGAAACCAGCCCAGTGAAGGAACAATAGGCTGGGAGGTCAGTTCCTTAATCATGATTATGCAAATTATCATGACCATTGATCAACAACACATACGGATTACTATTTAAGGTTTGACTCTCATCATCCACTGGAGCATAAACTGGGAGTCATCAGGACGCTACAACACAGAGCGAACACCATCCCCACTGACACAGCGGCCTGCGAGGCAGAAGAACATCACATGAAGAAGGCCCTGAGTAAATGTGGTTATCCCAGCTGGACTTTTGTCAAAGTGGGAAGGCTCCTAAAGAAAGCTCCAGCTGATCCAGGAGAGAAGGACACCGCTGCCCAAGCGAAAACCTGTAGTGATCCCATATGTGTCAGGAGTATCGGAGCAGTTGAGACGCATTTTTTCTAAACACCGGGTCTCTGTGGCTTTTAAACCCCAAAACACGCTGCACCAAAAATTGGTCCACCCCAAGGATCGGGTCCCCCGACACAAACAGAGTAACATAGTGTACGCTGTTAAGTGCCAGGAGGATTGCCAGGATTTATACATCGGGGAAACCAAACAACCTCTGGCCACAACACAGAAGAGCTACCTCGTCAGGCCAGGACTCTGCAGTCTATTTACACCTACAGGCCAGTGGACACTCTTTCAATGATGAGGATGTACACATCCTGGACAGGGAGGAACGCTGGTTTGAGCGCGGAGTCAAGGAGGCCATTTACGTGAAAAGGGAAAGACCATCTCTGAATCGAGGAGGGGGCCTAAGGGTACATCTGTCACCATCTTACAATGCTGTGATTGCAGCCATTCCCCAACTCTGTGAATGGTACTCATGGCCATTGATCAGTGGGTTTTGATCAATGGTCATGAGAATTTGCATAATTAAGATTAAGGAACTGACCTCCCAGCCCATTGTTCCTTCAGTGGGCTGGTTTCAGTCATTATGCAAATAGAATAGAATAGAATTCAACTTTATTGTTATTGCACATGTCACAATTACAAGGCAACGAAATGCAGTTTGCATTCATCCAGAAAGGGCTTTAGCAATAAAATAGATATACCATATTTTCCGCACTATAAGGCGCACCGTTGAAGACTGGGTCTGTTTTCATACATAAGGTGTACCGTATTATAAGGTGCATTAAGACAAACAAAACAGTCAGATAACTTGACCTTTAGTAAGCTCATTCACATTAACTCTTAACACTGTTAAGCTGTAACACATTCAATATTGAAAAATACATTTACTTTTGCCAGTATATTCAACTTCCACAATTCCATCAAATTCTTAACCTTCCGTGTCTGAGTTACGGTAAACAGCTGTGCAATTTCGGTATCAACGATGCCCGAATCCCTCTCACGCTGGATTAAAGGGCGTTTAAAGTGCATTCAGCAAAATAAAACAATCAGATGAGTTAAACATCATTCATCATTATCTGAATCAGTCTCGTTGCGGTTACTTAGCTGTTCAATGATTATTCCAGCCTTCGTGAAAGCTCGGACGACACTTGAGACTGATACCTTAACCCAAGCATCCACGATCCATTGACAGATAGCGGGGTAACTCGCTCGGCGTTGCCTCCCTGTCTTGGTGAATGTGTGTTCGCCTTCTGTCATCCAATGCTCCCACGCAGCTCGTAATTTAACTTTGAACGACCTGTTGACACCACTATCTAGTGGTTGGAGTTCTTTGGTTAATCCACCCGGAATGACGGCAAGCTCCGAATTAGTTTGCTTCACTTAGGTTTTGACAGCCTCGGTGAGATGGGCGCGCATGGAGTCGTAGATCAAAAGAGACGGAGATTTGTGGAAAAAGCCATCCGGTCTCTTGACATAAACTCAGCCACTCGGTCATCTTCTCCTCGTCCATCCAGCCCTTTGAGTTAGCCTTGACGATGACGCCGGCCGGAAACTTTTCTTTTGGCAAAGTCTTCCTCTTGAAAATGACCATGGGTGGTAGTTTCTGGCCATTAGCTTGGCAGCCCAGAACTACAGTGGAGGACGTTCCCTGTGGTGCGTATAGATACCGTACTGGTCCCTGTTTTCTCGACAGTACGGTTCACGGGGATGTCAAAGTTGAGGGGGACCTCGTCCATGTTAGTGATGCGTTCTAGCTGGATCTTTTTTTCAGTGATCTTATTCTGGCAGTGCGTGCAGAAAATGGCCAACTTTTCTTGTAATCGTTTGGCAGTTGCTGTGAGACAGTAGTTCTTGTGCGGATTGAGAGATTATGCCTTTTCATAAAACGGAAGCACCAAGAAGGTCCCCCTCGAAAGTCGTTGATCTGCATGTCATGTGCTGCCGCTGTTGCCTTGAGTCGAATAGAGACTGTAGAGACGCTTCTGCCTGCTGTTCTCTGTTCAATAACCCACTGTTCAATTTTGTCCTCTAACTGCGGCCATCGCGCCGTGTTCCCTCGGAAACTCCTTTTGGTCGTCTTTACTTGTTTTAGGTCATCTTCTTGCTTCCTCCACTTGCGCACCATCGACTCATTAATGCCGAATTGTCTCGCAGCTGCTCTATTTCCATTTTCTGCTGCATAACTGATTGCTCGGAGTTTAAAATCCGCTTCGTAAGCGTGTCTCTTCGCGGGTGCCATTTTTATACACACACAACACGGTAATGTTTTGTTGAAGCACAGTACGTATTACTCCGCGAGGCTC